TACTACAATGGTGAGATCAAAGAAAAAAGGGAAGATCTTGGTTTACAGGAGGAAGGAATCTTAGGGATCATCACCCAACGACTTCATTTTACAGATAAGAAAACTAAGGCTCAGAGAGCTTAAATGGCCTCTTTAAAGTCAAAGAGCAGGGAAGCTAGGTGGCATAGTGGATACAGCACCAGCACCTGGATTCAGGAGGACCTGAGTTCAAGTCAGGCCTCAGACACATAACACTTACTAGCTGTGTGACCTTGGGCAAGTCACTTAACCCCATTGCCTAGCCAAAAAAATAAAAACAAAAAACAAAAAAATTTTTAAAAAAATTAAAAAAAAAGTCACAGTGGCAGTCAGAAGCAGTCAGGATTTGAACCTAGGTCTTCTGAATCCAACTGTAATACTCTTTCCAAGTTATTGCACTAAACTGTGCTTTAGCTTACTGAATGCTAATGAACCATTCACAGGGGAGCCCTTTACTTTGCACTCTGGACATTGGTGTGGATAAGCAATCACCTGCCTTGAGACTCTTACTTCTATGACATCATTTGTGAGTAGGGGTCAGGTTCACTTTTTAAAAATCTCATACTTTGTGCCAAGTTTGGCTTCTTTTTGTTTGAGATTGTGAGATTCTACTTGTGTGTTGATTTTACTACCATTTTTATAATTAATTTTCCTTTACATTTTTTTTTAGCTACTGGCTTGCTGTTGCTTTGAGATGCCATGCTTGCGTGGCCTTTAGTTTTCTCATCTGGGAAATGGGCGCTTAGCCCAGGTATTGTGCACTTACAGAGAGCATGTGGTGTGATGGGTAGTGAGCCAACCTTAAAGCCAGGAAAATCTAGGTTTAAATCCTGCCTCTGACAACTATTGGCTGTGGGATTCTGAGCAAGTTTCTTAATTTCCAGTGCCCTAGGCAACTCCCTTATTCTATAATTAAAAACGAGTTCGTTTACCTCCTGGGAATTCTCTACCCTCTATCAAAACAAAGTTTTTTTAAATAGTTACTGAATAGGCTGGAGCAGTCAATGGGTAACATTAAATGACCACTATATGAGCCTCATTTGACTGTACACGGGCTTTGTATAATAGCTATGTTCTTGGAAAATGGCTTTCAAGAGACAGTGTGGCACATAAGAAAGGCTCATCTGCTGACCAGTGGGTCACTTTGGGCAATCCACTTCAGTTCTCATGAATAATGGGGTTCTGCTAAGTGATCTTCAAGGTCCCCTCCAGCTGAGGCACAGTGGCTAGAGAGCTGTTCTTGGAGGCAGAGTTCAAATCTTGCCCTCAACACTCACTAACTTTGTTCTAAGTAAGTGACTTGACCTCTTTCAGCCTCAATTTTCTTAGCTGTAAAATGGGAACAATAAGAACTTTTACCTTACAGGGTGGTTGAGAGTATCAAATAAGAGATATGCTACTTCAAAGCATTACATAAATGCCAGATACTATTAATCTAATTATCACTTATTAATTAATTAATACTATTAATTCCTGCAATGATTTAACTCTGAATCTAATTTTTGTAAATAGAATTCTGTTTTAAAATGCATGGAGAGGGGCAGCTAGGTGGTGCAGTAGATAGAGCACTGGCCCTGAACTCAGTCAGGAGGACCTGAGTTTAAATCCAGCCTCAGACACATAACACTTACTAGCTGTGTGACCCTGGGCAAGTCCCTTAACCCCAATTACCTCACCAAAAAAATAAAATAAAATAAAATGCATGGAGAGGGGGAGACGTTGCTAGTTAATAAATATATTGACAATATATTTTTTTGAATTAAGGTGATTTATGAGACAACTCAGAGAGGAAAGCTGAACTTTTTTTCCAGTTATTTTTCTTTCTTTCTTTCTTTTTGCTTCACTATACGTATTTATATATATATATATATATATATATATATATATATATATATATTTGTTTTTAGATTTCAGCATTCACTTCTATAAGATTTTGAGTTCTAAATTTTCCCTACTTCCCTCTCCTCTCCCCTCCCCAAGATGGTATGCAATCTGATATAGGTTTTACATACACATTCATAATAAACATATTTTCACAACAGTCATGTTGTAAAGAAGAATTAGGACCAAAGGGAAAACCCACTAGAATGAAGAAACAAAAAAAAAAAGAGAGAGAGAGAAAATAATATGCTTCCATCTGTATTCAGACTCCATAGTTCTTTCTCTGGATGTGCATAGGGTTTTCCATCATAAGTCTTTTCCTGCAATGTCTTAGATCCTCGCAATTCTGAGAAGAGCTAAGCCTATCAAAGTTACTGTTACTGTGTACAATGTTCTTCTGGTTCTGCTCACTTCACCCAGCATCAATTCATGTAAGTCGTTCCAGGTTTTTCTGAAGTCTGCCTGCTCATCATTTCTTATAGCACAATAGTATTCCATTACATTCATATACCACAACTTGTTCAGCCATTCTCCATTTGATGGGCATCCTCTCAATTTCCAATTCTTTGCCACCACAGAAAGAGCTGCTATAAATATTTTTGTACATGTGGGTCCTTTTCCCATTTGTATGATCTGTTTGTGATACAGCTCTAGAAGTGCTATCGCTGGGTCAAAGGATATGCACATTTTTATAGCCCTTTGGGCTATAAATTGCTCTCCAAAATGGTTGGATCATTTCACAGCTCCACCAACAATGCATTAGTGTTCCAATTTTCTCACATCTTCTCTAACATTTATCATTTTCCTGTTTTGTTAGTTGGTCAGTCTGATAGGCGTAATGTGGTACCTCAGAGTTGTTTTGATCTGCATTTCTCTAATCAATAGTGATTTAGAGCATTTTTTCATATGACTACAGATGGCTTTAATTTCTTCATCTGAGAACTGCCAATTTGATTGTCTCAGTACAAAAGAGGGTAAGTTTATGATCTTTGGCCTTGTGATTGCATTCTCCTTGAGGAGACATACCTGAAAAAAAGGCAAATGGACAGATAATGACAACTCAAAATTACAAGCAATGATAATAGCTGGCATTTACATAGCCCTTTAGGGTAACAAAGAGCTTTACAAATATCCTTTATTGTCATCACAGTGACCTTGGGAAGTAGGTGTTATTATTATCCTCAGTTTACAGATGAGGAAACTGAGACAAGAGGTTAAGTAAAGGGTCACAAAGCTAGTAAGTGTCTGAGGCTGGATTTCAACTCAGGTCTTCCTGACTCCACATTCTAGCACTTTATCCACTTTGCCACTTAGCTTCCTCAATGAGAAATGAATGTGGTACAAGTTTACTGAGGCCTAATGCTCTTTCTATCTACTGCACCATCTAACTGCCCAACTGCAACTGTTTAGATAAGTGGGGCAGGGGCTATAAAAAGTAGTACTGCCAAGAGATATAGAAGGATAATGGTACCCTCAATAGAATTTTCAGTTCAGTTGTTTCAGTCACATCTGACTTCATGACTCCAACTGGGGTTTTCTTGGCAAAGATACTAGAGTGGTTTGCCATTTCCTTCTCCAGCTCATTTTACACATGAGGAAACTGAGGCCAAGAGGGTTAAGTGACTTGTTCAGAATCACATAACTAGTAAGTGTCTGAAACTGAATCTGAATTAAAAAGTTTTCCTGACTCCAATCCTAGTACTCTATCCAGCGTGCTACCTACGTGCCATATTTTGACGACTTTCAATATAATTAGTCTCCTTTGCAATCCTATGCATTTTATGCATTTAAAAAACATTATTTTGGGAAGGTTTCATCAGATACTGTCCAACGGGGCCATAATACCAAAAAAAAAAAAAAAAGTGAAGAACTGTGCTCTAGTTCAATTTCTCCCTCCACCTCCTCCATTTTACACATGATGAAACTAACGCCCAAGTATATCCCACAATGCAAAATCCACAGTCTGTGAAAAGATTGGCTGAAATCTTCGGCAGAGATGGTCGCTAAGGCTCATGTATAAGAAAGGGTAGATCATAAATTTCAAATGCTATAATAACCCAGCAGTTTATGCATACTAGAGTACTAGTACTATATACTATATATTAGTAGTATACTTAGAGACTAGTATAATTAGACGAAGAGTGGTACCAGTCGGTCATGCTACAAGCATTTATTAAGTGCCTGCTATGTGCCAGGAGCTGTGCTAAGTCCAGGACCAACTGGACAAGAAGACAAGCCCGGACTTTTTTTTTTGACTTGTGAATGATGATGTCTGAACCCCTAGTATTTCCACTTTTTCAACCCTAGGCTTTCACTTTAGGGCCAAAGGGTGGGGTCCAAGTCACCAAATGTTATTTGAAGGTAGGAGACTGCTTGATAAGCAAAGTCAGAAAGCCCTCAGCAAGGTCGAAATATCTGTACAAATGCACTTCTCCGCCCTCTTCCTCCAGGGGATGCCGTCACGTGTCCCACGTGGAGCTCAGGAGCTGAACATAAAACAACAAACAAACAAAAACAATCCCACCCCCATCTCGCTCTTGCTGTCAGCCCCTCGGCCAGTGGGGCCGCGCTGGTGATGCAAGCACGGCTGACAGCGGCTGGGGGTATGTAAGCAGCGGTAGGCTGGCCACGGGGCTAGAAGGAGGAGGCGGAGGTGACTAGCTGGAGGAGGAGGAGACTCGCCGGGAGAGGCCGGCTCGGGGCTGGGGCTAGAGTGCAATCTGGTGACTCAGGGCGGGCCCCGCAGGGCTCCTCTTGCTCGCACTGCTGGGCTCGCGTGGCCCGGCAGTCATGACTCGTCGGGAGCTCTGGTGTTTCCTGCTTCTGCAGCCGCTGTTGACTGCCGGTCTGCAGGTAGTGTGCTCGGAGGGGAGGGGGCCGGCCTGAGGCCCAGGTTGTAGCAGGAGCGGCGGCAGCTGCTCCTGCTCGGCCAAGCCACCCCCTCCCAACACCTCCTCATCTGGGTTTTCTTCCGGGACCCCACGCGAAGGGTCTGTCGCGCCGTTTGTGCGTGGTTGGGCAGGACGCAGTGTTCCCCTGCCGGGTGTGTGTGGTACGTGTTGTGTTGGTGCTTGCGTGGTGGTGCAGGCAGATGCTGCAGACGGGTGCAGAGGGCTGGCTCGCTGCTCGCATCTCCTGGCTGCTTCTGGAGACAGGGTGCCGGGCTCCCAGGTGAGCTGCAAGCTGGAGGCTGGGGACTGGCGGCCGGCTTCTCCCCGCTCCTCTTCCTCGCGTTTCCCTCTAGGAAGGCTGGCGGTCCCGGACTTGCCCCCGACTCTGCCTGCCTGTCCCCGGCCCAGGAGACTTTTGCTTTCCCTCCGCACTCCCCTGCGCAATGGGCAGCGGTTGGGGTGGGGGTGGGGAGATGGAGGACGCTTTCTTACGCCTGGGGCCTGGATGGGGTTTGGGTTGTTTGCCGGGGCAGAGCTGCTTCCCGCTCCTCGCATTTCTTTCTTTGCCCGGGGTTAGGGAGGGCTGTGCAGCCTGGGGTTGGTCCTTACCATGCGCATATTTCCATACTCTGCGCTTGCTTCTTTCTCTGTGTTGGAAAGATCGAGTCAATTTCCTGCTTGGCCCCGGGGGAGGCTGGGCTGGGTAAAGGAAGTGGGGGTCCTTCTAGCATCTTAGCCCTCCGGAGCCTTTGCGGAAGTCGGTGGCAGGAAATCCCCTCCTAGGCTCATGGGGTCAGTGCTGCCCGGCCCCTTGGGCCAACCCCTCCTTTAACAGGTGGGGAAACTGAGGCAAGAAGCCCGGCGACTTGCCCAAGAAGTGGTAGCCTATTTCCACCCAGGGTGCGCTTTGGTTTGCTTGGTTTCCCAGTGGGCATTTCCCATCTTTGTCCCAGAAGTTCTCGGATGAGTGCTTTTAAGCACTTTTAAGTACTTAATACCCACCCCCAGTTGGCCAGCTCAGCTCTGCCCACTGATCGGCAGGCTTGCCATGGTTTGAGCAGGAGTTTTCAGTTGGGTGACCAGATGTGGGCCAAATTCACCATTGTGTACAGTCAGAGAATGCTAAGATAGGGTGTGAGATGCATTTCTGCCGTAAAAGAAGTCATACAAGAAAAAGGCGTACAAGTCACCTTGAAACCTGGGCTTGTTAAACATAGTACGGAGAGAAGCCTGGATCATTGAGTCATCAGGTGGGAGGTGAGATGCATTATTGCTTGTGGATGACTGATCTTGGCCTCCAGGATCGGAGCTGGGGAGGAAAGAATCATCCACCCACCTTTTGGTTGGAGAATGAGTGGGTGAACTCCCACAACCCCTGCTTACTGTGTTTTCTGTTGGGAGAATATGAAGGAATTCTTTAGCCTGAAAGTAATGGGACATCATGTTTTTTATGAAGCAGAATTGAGTTGAATAAAATTTCACTTTTTGGTAATTATTCAGGACACCTTGCATATCCAGTTTAAAAATGTTTGGTAAAAGGCACAGAACTCTAAAAGCAGGGTTAGCAGCAGTATTATTAAAAAATTTTTTTTATTTTGTTAAATATATTTTCCAATTTACATTAAAATTTTTTTAACATTCTTTTTTTTAGAATTTTGAATTCGGAATTCTCTTCCTCCCTCAGGTCCCTTCCCCACCCATTGAAAAGGTAATCAGTATGTTAAGAAATTTTTTTAAAATAAAAAAAAATATGGAAAAAATCGTTCAAGAATTAGGGGCAGCTAGGTGGTGCAGTGGATAGAACTCCAGCCTTGGGAGTCAGGAGAACCTGAGTTCAAATGCAGCCTCAGACACTTGACAGTTACTAGCAGTGTGACCCTGGGCAAGCCACTTAACCCCAATTGCCTCACCAAAAAGCAAAAAAAAAAAAAAAAAGAAAAAAAAATTCTGAGGCAGGAGGGTCTTAATTTGGTATCCCTGCATAGATTTTTAGAGAGGGTATCCATGTACTTGGATAAGGCAAAAATTACATGTTTATTTTCACTTACCTCTAACAGAGTTTTAACATTTCTATCAATTATTTAAAAACATTGTTGTGGGAAGGGGCTTCACCAGAATGGCAAAGGGGTCTGTGACCCTGGACTAAGGGAAGGGCAATTTAAAAGCTGGGAATTAGCCCAAATAAAATCAAATGAGATAATAGTTAAAGCATGTGCCTGGCTTTGTAAATTTATATATACATATCTATATATACACACATTTATTTAGAAAAGCACATGCTTGGCCCTGTAAATTTACATATATGTATATATTTATTTATAAAATTACATGCCTAAAGCTTCTAATTTTACATATATTTTTATTTCTAAAAGCATATACCCATCACTGTAAATTTAAATGTATTTATTTATAAAAACACATGCCAGGCACCATAAATTTCATGTATTTATTTACAAAAGCACATGCCTGGCACTGTGAAGATGCATGTATGCATGCATATTTATATGTGCATATGTATATGTGTATGTGTATTCCCCATGTAGCCTCCAGCTCCTTGAGAATTCCCTATCTGGCTGGTCAGGATCCTCCCAGGGGCTTTTAGATTGCAAGGTACAAGACCAGTGATGAGTTCCAAGGTTCAAGACCAGTTTGCTATCAGCAAACTACAGGCCATGTGAATGCAGGTCATGTGAATGCTGTGAACTGGCTTCTTCTAACTCATAAGACTTTAAGATATTAAAATAGTCAGCTGCAAAATTACCACCCCCACTTAAATATATAATTTCCTATGATTTCAGCATAGGAAAATTTGAAAACCAGCAGTCTAATTTTGTCCTTGGGAACATTCTAGCTTACTTTAAGGAGATCACAGGGATATAGATTGAGAGTTGGAGGGGACCTCAGAACTCATCTAATCCAAAAAAGTATTTTACAGATGAGGAAACTGAGGCATAGTCATTAGATAAATGACTTAATAAATGAGACATTTATTAAACCCCTGCTCTGTGCCAGGCCAGAGAATATGTGAATCGCCCAAGGTCAGATGGGTCATGATCAGAGAAAGGACCTCTAAGGTCTTCTAGCCTGTCCCCCTCCATTCTTTTTTTTCCCTGGCGAGGCAGTTGGGGTTGGGTGACTTGCCCAGGGTCACACAGCTAGTAAGTGTCAAGTGTCTGATCTGAGACCAGATTTGAAGGTCATGCACTACCTACCAGCCCCATCTCCTCCCTTTTACAGATAAGAAACTGAGGAGTTAACTGATTTGCCGAGAGTTACAGTCTGAGTGTCTGAGGTGGGATTTGAACCTAGGTCTTACTGATTCCAAGCCCAGCATTCTGTCCATTATACCAAATAACAGGTTCTAGATTTGGACTTGGGTGCTCTGACTTCAAATCCATGACTTTTTCCCCTGCACATAAGGGGAAAGGTCCTAATTAAGGTGACAACATAGGTTCAAACAATTTAGAACTCTGCTTAGGCCACACTTAGTTACCTTGAAGTGCAAATAGACCATAGGAGGCAAGTGTAGAGCCCCTGTTTCATTTGTTACCTTTTAAGGTATCACTCTGCTTTGAATTTTATTCAGTAATATTAATAGAAGATTTTTTTTTAAGGTTTACACATCACTTTTCATCACCTTGTCTTTTTTCCTTTCAACAACTCTATGAGGAAGGGGCTATTATACTCCTCCATTTTGAGGAGACTGAGTCCGAGAGAATTTAAGGGATTTGAACAGGGTCATACAGGTATTAAATATCTGAGGTAGGATTTGAATCCAGGTCTTCTGATTTTAAACTCAATATTCTCTATACCTCTCAGACTACTCCTGCCAGCTATATTTTTCAAAGGGGTCTTTGAGCCTACCTCTGTGTAGAAAGCACTGCAATCTCATCCTGAAAATTTCATTCTAGTAGGCATCATGGTGGCCCTCACATTCACATAGTGACTTGGACAGACTGCTCTAGCATTTTGCGTGTGTGTGTGTGTGTGTGTGTGTGTGTGTGTGTATGTGTGTGTGTTCATTTTTCAATCATAAAGTCCTAACAACTGCCTGCTGCCTCTCTTTGTGGAATTCAGGATAGGGGAGGGTAGGATTTGGGCAGATTTCCTATTGTGTAGGGGAAAGGGATACTTGGATATTGAAAAAGAGCTGACGAAGGTTCCTGGTTGCAGGCAGACCCGACCTGGACGCATCTTCCCAGCTGGACTGCTGCCTGAAGGACCTCCTACCATTTGGACATCTCTCTCTGGGGAGCAGAAACAATGATTGTCCTCAGACAGCTGTCCCTGGAAGCAAAGGCCGCCTTGGCTGCGGCTGGAGTCTTCTTTTCCATGATGGTATCCCGGACCTACCTGTCGGGAAACCTGGAGATTGGGGTGCGGCGCTGGCTGTTCAGGCTACAGCTGGCCCTGTTTGCCAACGCGCTTATGCTGATTGGCTCCATGTACATCTGGAGGAGCACGGTCACTTCCCTGTACCACTCCCCTGCTGTGGAGTGGGGGTGTTTTTGGCCCTGGAAGGTGACTATCTTGGCCTTCCTGGCCTTGGCCCACTCTAGCTTTTTCACCATGCTCTTTCTTGTGGCTGAGGAGCCCTACCTGCTCGCCATGGTGGCCTACTCTAGCCTTGGTGCTTATATTATTATGATTTTCTTCCTCTTTATCCTGGGTTGCATGGAGCAGGGGTACCAGCTCTTGGCCTGGAGGGGGGGCAGGGTCAGCGGAAGCATTGACAAGACCAGGAGGACGGTCCTGAAGCCGGTCCTGGCTGTGGCTGTGACCGCTGTGCTCAGTGTGGTTGGGCTTCTCAATGCCGCCCAGCCTCCAGCAGTGAAGACTGTCCAGGTGCCCATTCACCAGTTGCCGCCGTCGATGAACGATCTGAAGGTCGTGCTCCTCTCAGACATCCACCTAGGCCCCACGGTCGGCAGGACCAAGATGGAGTTGTTTGTGCGCATGGTGGAGGCTCTCAAGCCAGACGTCACTGTGATAGTGGGGGACCTTTCTGACTCCGAGGCCTCCGTCCTCAGGAAGGCCGTGGAGCCCCTGGGCCGGCTGTATTCTCGCCTCGGCACCTACTTTGTCACGGGGAACCACGAGTACTACACATCCGATGTCAACAACTGGTTCGAGCTCCTCAAGTCCCTGAACGTCCAGCCCCTCCACAACGAGAATGTGAAGATCACCGCCTCTGGGACGACATCAGCGAAGAGTCAAGATGACTGGATCTGCTTGGCTGGGGTGGATGACATCGAGGCAGACATCTTGCATTACTCTGGCCACGGCATGGACCTGAACAAAGCTTTGGACGGCTGCAGCCCTGACCGCGCCACCATCTTATTGGCTCACCAGCCCCTGGCGGCCAAGTGGGCCCTTCAGGCCCGGCCGGACATCAACTTGATCCTTTCTGGCCACACCCATGGTGGGCAGATCTTCCCGCTGAATGTGGGAGCTTACTTGCTGAACCCATTCTTTGTCGGGCTGTACAAAGTGGGGCAGAGCACCTTTGTGTATGTCAGTCCGGGGACGGCCTATTATGGGATACCGATGAGACTGGGAAGCCGGGCAGAAATTACAGAGATCATCCTTCGCTCTCCCTGAACAACTTCCCTGCCCTCCCTCTGCCCATCCCCCATTGAGAGGATTTTGTCTACCTTAACCTGTACTGATCTGCCCTCTTTAGCCTTGCAAACAGATGGTGGGCTACCAGCCCGGGTTGAGTTGGAATTGATAATGGTATGATGTGAAGAAATCAGATTTCTTATTTTTCTACATAAGTGGGGAGGGGCAGGTTGGTTAAATATTTATGGGGGAAAGTCATCTTTTCCTATTTATTTGCAAGGCTTGTAATATAATTTATATTGGGATTTGTTAAATTTGTAGGTACTGTTTGTTAGGGGCAGGGAGCTGTTTGGAGCAGACACACTATAATGTCCAAGATCTTTAGATGATGGGGGAATGTTGAATATTCAGCAATATTTTTTTTTTATTAGGACTTTCTTTTCAGGATTTAGCTCAGTTTCCAGGGACTTTTTGATTCAGGACCTTTTTTTAGAAAGAGTTAGTGGGAAGGCCAAAGAGGAAATAGTCTCTCTTCCCAGTTCCATCCATATTTCTATCAGCTACTCTGGAAATGCAACTAATACAAAGACAGAAAAAATCTTGGTTTCCTTATTTTCTATTAAAATCCTGACAGTATCAAATTCTTCCATATAGACCTAGATCTCATAGTCCTCCAAAGTACTTGACTGAAATAATTAACTACCAGTCACCTGTCCTAGAGAGATGTTACCTAATTAACCCTTATCCCTTCAGCTTTTGAAGAAAAAGTACATAAAACCTTGAGTGTTGCAGTTAAAATCTGTTCATAATACGAATACATTTGTATAGCACTTACACTGTATGTAGTGGTTTGGCATACCCTTCATGGTAGGTTGGGTGAATGGTAGTCTTCTCATTTAAAAGTGGCACCTACCTTCCACGATAGGTTGTTATGAGGATAAAATGAAATATTTGTAAAACTCTTTGCAAACCTTAAAGCACTATATAGAGCCTAGTTATTATTATTATTTGCAGAAGAGACTGAGGGCTCAGAGAGGTTCAGATGAACCACCCAGGTTCACATACCTGGAAAATGTGAGGCAGAACTCAGGTACATTGACTAATAGTGCTGGGGCACTCTTTCAATGATCCCAGGCTGCTTTGGCATAGCTGGCTGATTCCCATGCAGTATTTAATTTTTGAATTTACCAGAGCTGGGATTCCTTCCTTCCTTGGGACACCCTTTCAGGTTACTAGCAAACTAATTTATCTTGCCACAGGTTAAATATTCATTGGCTCCGTGGCTCAGGAATTGGGGGTAGGGGACATCTAGTTTCTCAGGGGCATGGTAAGCTGATGAAGGTGACAGATTTTGCCTTCCCCCCCCCCACTTAGCCTCCCAATGATTATTAAGTCAACACTTGAATATGGTTGTTAGCCACTAAGCAAAGACTTATAGGAAGATTCATAGAATCCTAGACTTGCAGCTGGAAAAAGGATCTTAGGTAGGTACAATCCAGTTTCTTCATTTTATGAGGAAACAGGTCCAGGAAAATTAATTCTGGGGAAGTGAGATTTGAACACAGGACCTTGGACTCCCGAATCAGTGTCACGCTTCTACTCTGAGTGTGAAGAATTCTCCCCAAACTCCAGAAAGATTCTCTGCACATTCACGTTAGCCTATCATACCCAGTATGGTCCCCAAATGACCCAATGTCATTTAAATGGGAGCAACTCTGTACTTTGTATTTGTGGGTCCTTTCCCTTCCAAAGCACCCTGAGTTTGGAAGAGCCCTCTGCCAGTGATCCAGTGACTTCTCCAGAGGAAGTCTTTACCAATGCCTACCCATTTAGGAAATAGCCAACCCAACAGCACTGGGTGGGCTCTGGCCCTGTAGGCCTGGATAGCTAATGATCACAGGCATGGTGGGCTTCAGGCCCAGACCCACCCGGCATCTTATTATCAGTGGAGGATCCCAAGGAAGTAGTTACATTGGGTTGAATAGACTGGGGATTTTCGCTTACCCCTTTATTTTCCTGTTGCTTCAAGAGGATTGGCCCCTTGACAGACCATAGGAATTTACCACTATTTGAATGTGCTTCTGAATGGAAACCCAAAAATACGTTTAAAAGCCCTGTTGCCTGGGATCCTTCTCTGAATGTGTAGGATTAGACCTCAGGTACATAAGGAATGTTGGGCAGCTAATCCTGGAGAGAATGTTCTTATTGTGGAGGCCTCTCTGTATGCTGAACAATGTTACTTGTATGTATAAAAATACTTTTTGAGTTTGTTTTACTGTATGCAATTTGATTTTTTAAAAATATCTTTAATGGCTGTTGATGTAAACTCTCCTAAATCTGAAAAAGCTTATTTTCTTAATAGATTTTGAGCTGGAAGGGCCCTTAGAGGACATCTGGACCAATCTTTTACTTTAAACTGAGGACACTTAAGTTTTTAGAGATGAAATGGCCTGCCCATAGCCACCCAGATAGTTAAGTGATTCAAACCCAGATCTTCTGACTTCAAATCCAACTTTCAGTGCCATAGGAAGGTGCATTTTTCTCTTTCCCTTTCTCATCTTCTTCCTGTTAGGGTATCACAATTGGAAAGAGGTATGGTCTACAATCCTGTTTCCCAACTTCAAATGTCCTAGGGACCAGGAAGATAATCTAAAGTCCCCACTGGACCACTCAGCCCACCATGGTCTTAGTGTTCAGGCTCTCAGCAGCTAGGAGTGGTAGAGGGGGAGCGAGAGGGGGTGAAGGAGAAGGAGGGCGACCAGAGCTGGAAAGAAGCCTGAAGCTAGAGTGGGAAAGAGCCACATGCTAGCAGAGGCTTCAGGAAGTGAGGAGCACTGGTAGGAAGAGTTTGGGGGCCCAATCAGAGTCATTGCTTTGTGTGGAGTAGAAAGAAGACGCTACTCAACTCCAGGTAGATACCACCTACAGCCTCCTGTTAATAGAGCAGCCGATGGGGAGCACAGATGTTGGGTGCTCCCTGTGCCTCAGTTTCCTCAAGTGTTACTTTTAAAAGTTTGTTGAATCCAGCAAAGGGATTATTCCTTTAAGGATCCTTGTAGTTCTAAAATACCATGACTGGTGGATGCTTTTCCTTCTTGCTGACATGATGTCCCTGGCATATAGTCGGCACTTAAATGCTGGCTAATTAATGGGGTGAAGAGTCAGACAACAGTTAATTGATCAGCAGCTAGGTGATAAATGGATAGAGCATCTGGCCTGGAGTCAGGAAGACCTGAGTTCAAATACGGCCTTAGAATCTAGTTGTGTGACTCTGGATAAGTCACTTAACCGTGTTTGCCTTAGTTTCCTCATCTATAAAGTGGGCTGGAGAAGGAAATGGCAAACCATCCCATTCTCTCTGCTAAGAAAACCCCAAATGGAGTCACAAAGAGTCTGACATGACTGAAATGACTAACAAACAACAAATTAATTGATCCATATGGGTTGTCATCCTTCAAAAATGTGTAGAATGATAGAATATTCACTTGAGCTTGGCACTAATGTGCATTACCATGTGCAGGGTAAACTTGAGACCATCCATGTCCTTGCAAAGCTTACTGTTTCAAAAGGAGATTGGATCTACATAAAGAGCACATATAAAAAACATAAGTGATTTCAGCCATTAATAAATATATCTATGTAGGTTTTCTTAAAGTGATGAAGATATTTATTACTTTCTTCTTCCATGGAATTCTAGTCCTAAAAAGAGCTTTTTGGGATGATCTTGTCCAGCATCCTCCTCTTACAAATGAGGGAATGAGGGGCTAGAGAGATAAAATTATGATAGTGTTGGCACCATGTAGTGTTTGTTTTCATCTGTTATCCCTTGTATTTTGTTCCTTTCCAAGCATTTGTGCCTGGCTCAGTCTCTTAGGAGTGTCCAGTTAATTGTGCCTCTCTCTACAGCTGTTAGGTCCTTACGTGTTCTTGAATTGTAGAATTTTACACATGGGAGGGACCACAGGGGTCTTTGTCCAATCCCTAAGACGAGGTCATCCCAATTCCAATGGACATTCTGCCCACTACTTCCTTAAAAAATTAATTTAATTTAAATTAAATTAGCTTAAATTAAATTAAAATTAAATTTTAAAAAATTAATTAAAAAATTAAAAAAAAACTTGAATCCCAAATTCTTTCCTCTCTCCAGCCCCTTCTCCACCTATTGAGAAGGCAAGCAATATAATACCCATGATACATGTGAAGTCATGCAAGACCATATTTCCATAGTGCTCACCACTTCCAAGACCCAGTCTTTCCTCTCTTGCCATCTGGCCTTTACAGGATCAAAGAAAATCATAATTGTGAGGGACATGTAGACCAATCCATACTTGAGTGAGAATTCATTCTCTGTCACACCAGTACAAGAAAGGAATCTCACCTGGCAAGTTCTCATGACCGCATTCCCTTGGAGATCTCCGGTGAGGAGGAACTTACGATCTCCCTAAGTGCCCTTTTTCCATGCTGGACAGCTCTCAGTGTTAGGAAGCTGTTTCTCACATCCCACTTAATTAGAATGATGACCATCCATCCATCCATGGTTACTGGTTCTACCTTCTGGAACCAAGAGGAAGAAGGCCAGCCCCTTTAAGGACTTGAAGATGGCTCTCACTCTCTCCGCCCACAGCCGCCATTTGAGTGCATCCAGCTTCCTATGCTCTTCTGCCATGGCTGGGCCTCTGTAGCCTTCGCCTTTCTCACCAGTACTAGCTTTTGTCCCCTGTCTTCTCAGAGGAGTCGCATTAACCCATTTTCTTTGATCTTACTGCCCTCTAATTCTGCTCCTTCCTTGTCCTCATTTATACTTTCCTTTGTAGCATTTACCTTTCAGATTCCTCTGCAGTTCCAGATTTCATCAGCTTATCACTTTCTCAGTCACTCTCATATATGTTGAGAAATGAGTTTCAGAGATTCATGTCAAGGGTGGCCTCAGGAGACTCCCCATGGTAGTTATCCTTTCAAATGCAGGGAGCCTCAGTTGAACCAATCCTTCCTTTGTCCGGAAATTCGTCTTAGTAACTGTCCTTTCTCAGGTTCATGCCTTTGTGGAAAAAGGACATCATGG